TGTGTGAGCATGAGAGAGAGAGAGAGGGGGGGGAGTGAATGAGTTTGTAAGCGTGTTTACATAATTTTTGTGTGTTTATGTGCATGCGTGTTTGTAAATTTCTTGAGTACGTGGTTTGGGAAAAATAGACAGACAGGTCCCAACTGGCAAATCGTTCATTGAACATCTATGTCTTAGCCAAGTAGCAAATATTATGTTCGCCGCAGAAGCCAACGTCTTCAACTGAAAATTGGCAAACTACTGCGGTGTCAAGTTCAGCATTAGTGCTGTCAGGGACCACTTCGCATAGATCGATGATTCGCATTGTAGATAAGTTATGGCCACCTAAACCGGACTGGCCGTGGAGATCGATGAATAAGATCCCGAGACATAATGGCACTGAAGGGCGTCCTACAGATACGGGAAACGCGACTGGAGAGACAACGTTTATCTTAAGAATAAGGTTTCAACTACACTGATAATTTTTAGTCGAAATAAGGTACCCTCAGTTCTGTTCTAAACTCAATAAGTAGGTAGTTTTGACGATTTCGAGAGGCATGTGGTGCTCCCGATTTCTGAAGCGTTATTTGTATTTCTGTCGTTCAGAAGTAAAGAAACATAAACGAAACAAAAAACAAAGAAAGAACGAAATGTTTAAGACAATATTCTACGTAGAGATTATTCTCGTCGGGAGATGGCGATGTACTTGCGCTCACTTGTCCACTTTGGCAACTGTTGCCATCTGAAGGAATGGATTGCTCCTTCTGCTTTTATTCTAGTTCTGTGTGACCCTGTAGGGCCAGGGACTAACTGCCGTTCGTTCTTTGACGTAATAAAACCAAGAGGCAAACTTCCGGACTGAGAGGAAAGATGCTATCGAGAAGCAATTATGGGCCACGGATCTAATTTATGGACAATTATCTCAAGATTCTGAAAGCCACACCAGCTAGCGAGGAAATGGGTGCTAGTCTTCAGGAAAGAACTTCACAGAATATAAGACTAAAACGACCTCTATTGTTGACCTTTGTTACTTTGAGACAGTCTACTTGAGAAGTCATGTGTTGACGTCACGTGCTGTATCACCGAAAAGATAGTCTTGCAAGGTAAGTCAGTGGAACTCGAAAAGGGAGAAATCAATGAGAAGACAACTGAAGAACTTACAAGAGAATATGCTCAGGTCTGATAGTAAACTGCGGCTGGAAATCGGATTGAGTTAGCGGTGTGGGTGTGTGTGTGGGTGGGTGTGCCTGTATGTGTATATATATATA